TTAATAAAAAGTCTTCGGTCCAACACATGAAGCTTTGCTAGAACCGTGCATTAACTCAGCATCAAACTATATAAGCATCAAATAAAATCCTAGAGATCTAATACAAGATCTCTTGGAATTGTATTAGATCTCTAGGATTTTATTAGATCTATATAAGCATCAAACTCTTGTCTACCTACCGAGTAATACAATGTACAAAATTTCCCCTCAGGAAGGCACGCAATAAACTTAAAAAAATCAAAATTTTAGTAAGATGCTCCGAGTGATTTTGATTAGCATGAGGTTAGAAGATGGAATTTTTTTCGTAAATTTTTCGTATAGAAACGAGTACATCATCATCCAACATCAAAAATGCACCTTTTTTCAAAACTAGGAGGGAAAAATCTGGCATCTTAGCTCTTCTTCCTGCCCTATTTTACCAGTTTCTTGCAAAAATGGAAATAAAGTAATGATATAGAAATGTAACCATTTTCTCATTCAAATACAATTAAACTATCCCATCTCAGAACTAGGGAGGAAAAAAATCTGGCATCCCAAATTAAATATACCTAACCAACTTTAGCAAAGTTCCTTGTTTTCTTCTTGATTCAATAATACCCAGTATTTTATTTCCAAATGGGATTAAACCAGGTAATCTAGGGAGAAAAGAAAGTGCTAAAAACCCAATACTTTTCATCAAGTAAATTACACACAACTGACTGAATAGTTCATGAATTAGACCAATAAAAAAAAGAAAAAGGAAGGTCTTTTGCACAATCATAGTTATCAGTTATCGGGACAAATCACAAATGGGTATTCATTTTGGGGCAAATCATAAATGGTTGTTCCTTTTTGGGGCAAATGAGCAACCCCAAATGCGAAGGGAGAGGAGGAGAAAGGCAACAGAGAGACCCTTGATCTCAACCTCTACAGACATTATAAGACCGAGATCGAGTTTGTCCTTGTTGAGGTCGTGGAGGAACCTGCAGCTGCTGCCATTCTTGCAGAACCCCCTGATGAAGTAGAGGCAGGGCTTCCGTCGTGGAGGAACCTGCAGCTGCTGTCATTCTTGCATAACCCCCTGGCGAAGTAGAGGCAGGGCTTCCACCCGAAGCTGGAGGCGGCGCGATAGTGGCATCGGGGGCTACGAATGAGGATGGAGTCGATGAGATCGAGGGGAGGCGGAGGTGGTGGAGGTGTTGGAGGTTCCCAGCGAGGTTGGAGAGAGGGTGGAAGAGGAGATGAGAGGAGAAGAAGAAGATCTGAGGAAGAAGAGGGTAGTTTGGGGTTTTTATGAGATTTTTTCTCTTGGGAACTGTAAATAGGGCTGAATCACATGAACTTTTCATTTTTGGGGCTAATGCATATTAGAAAAAGTTCAGGGGGCTAGGACACATCAGGTTTTTATTTTTGGGGCCTTGAAGCAATTTTTCCATAAAATTATAACTATTAATTGTTTAAAACTAATATAATAAAATAATTTATAAAATAAGTATACACAATTATTAGTAGTAACCAATTAAATTATTATAATAATTATTTATGAAATATAATAAAATAATCGCATAAATAGAATAAAATATTACTAAATACTACTAAGAATTATATTGTAATTCTATGATCCATAAAATAAATAGAATAAATATTTAACCGCATAAACAGTGCAATTATTTTAGTGATATCACATAAATTATGAATTACACTTAATATTATATTATTACATAAATTGAATAAATAATTTGATATTATTTTTTGAGTATTTGCTCAAAGATTATTACATGATACTGAATAATCTCTACTTGGTAATGATTGAAACCTAACCTTTAAAAATATTTAATATTAATAATAATACTATTAATTATTAATGGTAATATAATAAAAATTTATAAAATGTTTATAGTACTAAATTATTTAAGTGCATAATTAAAAAATTAAATTAGATAAATATTTTATAGCATAAAAATAATATACTTATTTTAGTATATTACTTGAACTAAGAATTATAATATTAAATAAGGTAAATTACAGGAAACCCCATAAATTTTCGACATTTTGTAGTAAATAGATCCTCTGAACTTTCAAAATCACACTAAACCCATAATAACTTTTGTAGAAAGCCCCCAATATCTTTTAGATAAATTACACCAAACCTCCAACAACTTTCAAAATGCATTTTTATGCCCTTTTTGGTTCTAATTCATAGGGGTCATTTGAAAATTTTAGAAAGTTATTAGGGGGTTTTCTTTGAAACAGAAAAGTAATTAGGGGTTTAATGTGATTTTGAAAGTTCATAGGAGCGAAAAGTTCATAAGGTCTTAATGTAATTTACTCTATTAAATAATTATAATGAGAAGTAATTACTGCAGTATATTAAATATATTAAGTTTATTATATAGGAAACATCAGGAAAAAACTAGCAAGAAATGCAGCTTAATTAATTCAGAATTAAGTTAATATTCAAGTTGGGGGAGCGTATTTTGGAGAACTTATAAAATTAGTATTATATAAGAATAATATTAGATTTAGGGGACTTATTTAAATAAAAAGTTCGCACCGAGCCAATCATGATAAGAAAGAAATTCGATTATAATAATTAATTCATATAAATTTTAAAACAATTTTATTTATTAACACATAATTTAAAATATTCAATTAAAAATCAAAATTTAAAACATGTACATTCACGTGCAAAGCTGAATTATACCGGTCTCTAAAAAAGCCCCATCGAGAAAACGCAAGGGCATTAAAGTAATTTCGTCCGAACTCCCAACACGATCTTGTAGGCATATAAAATTGTTTATAGGTCCCTTAGCTCAGCTCGGCACAAACCGACAAACCAACGAGGCAACGAGATTGACTAATCGCACGCAAGCAACGGAATACGTCCATTCGCGTGCGGGATCAAGCCAAGTGTTCGAAGAGTCAACGAGTCATCCAACCAAGGGCATACTCGGACGAATCACGATCGAATCAAGATCGGTTTCGGACTCGAACTCAGAAGTGGACTTACTGCCTAATCGGGATCCGGATTTACTGCCAAATCAGATCAACGAATCAAGTCTGGATAAATCAACCGCAGAACTGAATCACAGATAGAACCAAGAGCGGAAAACGACGGAACAACACACCCGAAAAGAGGCTCGGAAACCAAGTCACCGAGGCGGCTCACCGAGCCACCAAGGTGGCTCGGTGGCCGAGCTACCTAGGTGGCCGGCCGAGCCACCTTTTGGGTGGCTCGGCCCAGTGCCGGCCACCAGAGGTGGCCGACACTGTTCCGTGCGCGGGCACAGTAAAGAGTGCCTATAAATAGGCCACTTGGTTCATTTTGTTCAAGGGGTTGGAAATTTTGGAGTCGCGAAGCTCTGTCGGATTCAAGACTCGAAACTTAGAAAAGATTGGAGCTTTGGGACTTCGGGGACTCACTCTTCCAGATCTGGTGCTCAGCGATCGTCAACGCCAAAAAAGGCAAGGGTGTTCGAGAGGACCGGATCTCAGATCTACGCAGACGTACTCCGGATCTAAGCTTGGTCTTAGATCCCGAGGACTTGGACGATTGTTTCCTTGGGCTGAATCAATCCCTCCCCGGCTATTATTTCCTTGTGGAATAATACCGTCGTACTGCTTAGATCTGATCGGATCTAGATCTCGCGGTGGTCCACGGAAAACAACCCCGGCCGCAGGCAAAGCAACCCACACAATGCGAGCTGACCTGCAAAACAGGATCTTGCGATTTGTTCGACACAAAAGGAGAAAGTTGTAATTTTCTTTATTTCTTGTGTTATTTGATTTTCGTTGTAACCGGATCTAAAAAAAGACCGGATCTTTGTAATCGATAAACTATTACAAGAATTTGCAATGGAATCAATGATGAAGAAAACAACGATTTTCACCGTGAACAGATCTTTGTCTCAGGGCCCGTTTGGATAATAGAAGTATTAGAAGTAAGAAGTAGGTTATAGAAGTAATTTTCAAAGCTATGAAGTAGGAAGTAGTGGAAATAGCATTTTTTTTGTTTGTTTCATATATTTTTAGAAGTAATGGAAGTAGAATTTCTTCCTCTTCATTTACTTTTTTTAGAAGTAATGGAAGTAGAATTTCTTCCTCTTCATTTACTTTTTTTGTTTGGATAACATTTGGAAATATTATTACGAAGTAATTTTATCAATAAAAAGTTGTTAGAAGTAACTAATAAAGGAAATATTAATAAAAAATTAGTTATGTCATAATTAATATGCATTTCAACTAATTTCGAGCTACTTTTGAGTATTGAGGATTGGAAAAATATTTTAAAAGTAAGGATGACACGTAGGCACCACATCAGCATTTAGAGAAGTATTAAAAGTAAGTTTTTTAGAAAATCAAACATATTTTTTTGCTTGAAAATAACAGAAGTAACCTCTATTTCAGCTACTTCACGATTACTTCCGTGCAAACAAACGGGCCCTCAGTTGGGGTGTTAACGGAGCGGATACGGCTCGGATATGACACTTACCATATCCATATCCGCTTACCCATCTCGAATACGGATACGGATACAGATATACGTCGGTAAGAAAAATTCATATCCATATCCGCCAAAATCAGATACGGTTACGGATATAGATGTGGATATATAAACGAATATGCATGCGGATACAAAAATGATATGAGAAAACTAGATAGTATTCAGAAAAATATAGTCATATGATACAAAAAGATTTCATTAATATGTTCATTATGATTGAAAAGCTAAGATTAGACATCTTGATCATCCAAATTAACCACAAACCCATAATCTAAGAATCGAAACTACCGTAAGAGTATGACTAATATGTATTCGGATATTTTCGGATACAGATACAGATATTTCACTACAAAACCATATCCGTAATCATATCCTATTGGTTATAGATTTGAGTAACCATATCCGTATCCTAACGAATACGGTTACGGATATTTCCTCAGATACGGATACGGATTAGCACCCCTGGCCCTCAGGCGCGGCGCTCTGAAGCGAGCCCATAATAACCCAAAATAATCGCATCGAGACGTTTCTGCCCCCCTCTTTGCTCCCTTTCACTCGCTCCTCGGTCCTCTCGAAATCATTCTCCTCGACGAAACCCTATTTCTCGAAAATCCCTAAATCCTAGGGGTTTTCTAGGCTTTTAGCCCGATGGATGCGTTTCCAGGCGGACCGGTCGATTCGGCTCAGCTACAGTCCACCATGATCACGATCGAGCATGCCTGCTCTTCGATCCAGGTCCCGATTGTCGATTTGTTCTTAAATCTGTTACATTTAGGGTTTTGTATTTCTTGATCCTCGGATAATCGTCATTTAAATCTGATCACCGGTTTCCATTTCCTATTATATTTGCATTACTTGTTCTTTTTTTATTTTCGGATGATGTATTCATTAGATGATTTCTTGTGTCCTTGATCCTTAGTTTGATACCTTCAGTTTCCGAAATTTTCACCAATTTGTTGATTTCATAGTTTCGCGAAGCTTGAGATGCTAATCATAGTTGGGAGATATAATTCATTGGGTTGCTTATAAACTAATTTACTCGATCCATTGATGTAGTGTTTGTTGAGATTCGTATTATGGACAGTTTGATTATTTATATTGGTAGGATTTTGGGAGTGAGGGTTCTATGAGGTTCTGAGCCACATCTTGTGGCAACTAGGGGGGCAGTTCCGCCATTTACTGCCCCCTTGTGTGGCTATCAGAACCCCGCATGGTGCGGGGTTCTGATAGGACCCTTACTCGGATTTTGGTGTATTATGTGCATGTTAGTTTTTTTTTTGTCGTTTGATATCTTATTTTGGCTATTAATTTGACGACCAATGTGCTTTCTTCCACATGCTGAAAGTGCATGATTAGAATTTTTGGCGCATTGATATCAATCGTGATTGGCAGCCTGTTTGTATGTTTTTGAAACTCAATAAGCGATTTTTTTTATACTTAAAAGTTAGCAAAAAAGGGAAGTTTTAACTTTGTTGCTAATTGAATGAGGTTTGACAATAGTTTAAAAAGTGTTTTTATGCACACAATTGAATACATAAAAATCATCCTGTCGATTTTTTGGCCAATTTTATTGGCAACATGCTTGTATGTAATAACTGTATTTTACTGTAACTGTTTTCCTTGTTCTTTGTCATCTACAAAACTAATCTCTTGTCATTTTCTTAGTGCTAAATTTTCACACTTTACTTTTGCTCTGATAATTTATTGGAATTATCTAGATGTATAACTGAATTTCCTGATACACCTGAAAAAATGAGAAAATAGTAAGTAGTTTTATCTAGAAAACTATAACCATCCAAGCTTCATGTAAAATGATAATTTCAGCTGAAGTAAAGTGTTGAAGTTTTAAGTTTATGTAAAACCATGGTGAATACTCACCAATTGTCAACAACAGTTTCGACTGCCAATCATCAACTTCCCTTTTTTTTCCTCTTAGTTTTGTTAATGAATATTACAAGTTTTGTTAATGAATAATCACTTATCTGTACATTTTTTGATTGGCGCAGATGCACATGAATCCAGCCGAATCAGAAAAACTTCTTATCTTACTTCGCCAATCTCCTATGCCATACAAGTCATGCCGATTTATTCTTGGTACGTCAACCCTTTGGTTTATACTTTTGGGTTATTAGAAAATTGTGTAGTAACTTATGCAATTAAATTCACATTTCTCTATGACTGTTGCTTAGTTGCACGGGTGTGGGTAATGGTATGGGTACAGGTATGGGACACGACAAATTTGTAAAAAATAGGGTACTAGGACACAACTATATATATGTACATTGTGTACAATTATATGTAATAAAATTAATAATTTATATAAGAACAATATTATTTTTTCATTTAAATGAGATCAATATATTAGAAGTAGATGTGAAGTGTAGAATATACATCCAAGAAATGTATTAGGAGTGTTTTAAATTAAAACATGTGGTATATAATTGAGTATAAGCTTGAACAAATGTGTGCATATATTCAAGAGCTGCCAAAGAAGTTTGGGTACGGGTATGGGTACATGTCTGGTAGGGTACAGCTTCCAAATAGAAGTATCGCGGTAACATAGGACTGTTGTAATGACATTCTTTTTATGGGTTGCCAACCCTTTCACATTGAATGAATATTTATCTATTTCAGATGATCTTTCTTGAATCAATGGTTTCTTTGTTTTTTTAAAATTTGGCAACTTTAGGTTTAAGCTCAGAACTTGATGGAAGCCAAACTGTTGATTTTCAATACTAAGAAGTAACAAAGAATGCATGTCTTTATCATGTTGAGATACTCGTCATGCAAGATAGGTCTAGATCCACATCCTTAATAGCTGAATGTAATCTCGTCAGCTTTTTGAGGTAGCTCATTGTGGACATTTCTCTCATTGGATACGGAATGTAGAATGGAGAGTTCAGGTAAAATTGATTAAGAGTGACTATCTTAATTGATTACATAGTTTGGAACTAATTGTTAATTATGAATTCAACAAAGAAGATCAAAGAGGGTTGAGCTTGTGTACACTTCCAATCAGAATTTTCTGGTAGCTTATTTTCCTCAATATGAAGAGAGGAGATTCGTCTTTTTTTCTTCTTTGTCGATTGTAATGAATTGTTCCTGGTGTCTTCCAACCTCCTGTGTTAACCAGTGTTAACCAGCTTGTAGTTGAAGCACATATGTAAAGCTTTAATTCTAATACGGTGTTGTCACGTTCCTTGGTATATAGAAAAAGAAAATGCAAACTGATTTAAGAAAGTCTATAATATCTACTAAAATGTGACGTTCCTACTGTAAGCTTTTAGAGTGTTTTCTGGTAAAAGATACCACTTGAGCACTTTGGTTTTGCAAAGAAAATCTGAACACTGGATGTACATTAAAATTTGTTAGATTCGGATGTATCTATATATTTTGGTCTATGATATTGTATACAATACTGACACTGCTACTAATTCCAGAAAATTCTCAAGTTCCTACTGCAAGATTCCAGGCTGCGTCAGCTATTAGAGATGCTGCAATAAGGGAGTGGGGTGTTCTTACTGAAGAGAACAGGAGAAGCTTGATATTGTATGGCTACTGATTTCTAGAGCTGTTGGTGAACTTGTAAACATTATCTGAGGTACATGTTTTATTTCTTTTTCTTTGTTGCAGATTTTGCTTGTGCTATGTTATGGAACGTGCGAACACTACTGATGCATATGTGCAGTCAAAGGTCTCTGCTGTTGCAGCTCAGTTACTAAAAAGAGGCTGGTAAGATGTGTGCCAACAAACCAACACTGTTTCACTTGTTTCTATGTAATTAACTCAAACGAAGTTGTTACAACATGTCTATTTGGGGCATTTTTATCTTGTTTGCCCTTATATGTAGCTTGGACCTCCACCTTAGTCCTGTAGCAGCGATAAAAAGTTTCGTGACAGACTGCATTAAAGTCCACTGAATTTTGTTTTTTTACCAATTTTGTTGTTAAAGGAAGTTCCTTTCCAATGAATAAGGTTTTCTAAATTTGATATATTCATATTTGAATTCATCTAAATCTTCAAATTTGACAAATTTTCCTTTAGTACACTCCTGGTAAAGCTCTCTTGACCGAAGAACACCGTTGTCTCAACAGCAACAACAAGAAGAAACAAAGTCTATATTTTGTGCACTTTAGTTTGTATCTGCTGCACATCGTAAACTATGTCAATTGTATTTCTTTTCATTTTATTTTCAATGAGAGCGGCATCTAAGCTCTTATCAATGCATTCGTTTCCTGTTCTATCTTTTAAATCTCCTACAGAGAACACCATAGCTGGGACATGGTCTTAAAAATGCTATGCATGTTATTACTCATAAGATTTGGGATATGCAAAACATAACCAGTTAAGGGTTAAAAGGGATACCGATAGAGGGAAAAAGGGTGGCATCAATTAAGTTGTCTTACTGGCCAAACTCTGAAATCAATGACGTAAATTTGAATTTTTTTTTGAATATTTGTCTTTGTCTGTTATTTGTTGCAGGGAAAGCATACATTTTATCCTTTTATATTGAGCTCTGCTCAAAGTTTATTTAGTGCTTTTTGACATAGCTAATAATGATTATCAGTGTAATTTCTAACTAAATCAGAAATTATATCCTCAGTCCAGAGGTAGAGGCATAAACTTCTGAGTTTCAGCTTAACTTGATGAATCCTATGTTATCAGTTCAAATTGAAATTTTTCATCTCATATTCTGATGCCTGTGTGTAGGTTAGATTTTGATGATGCTAAGAAGGCTGCTATTTTTTCTGAGGTACAGGCTTACGTATATGACTCAATCAAATTGCAGTGGCACTGTTTAATTTTGGTGTTTGGCTTGTCAGGCTAATGACCTTCTTGTACTAAATTAAGTTGAGACGATATGCTTTTAATGCACATGGAATATGCTATTATGTTATAATTATGATATGTTTACGTACCACCGTTATACTTGCTCATTGTGTTACATGGACTTGTTCTATCTTACATGAAAACAATATATGTTTGCAACAGCTGAATTTTATTGATTGCATACAAAAGTCTTGTCATTTGAATTAGCCTCTAAAGCCAATTACCAGAATTTTGGATAGTGACATTTCTTATATTGCTTTTCACTAGAAAAACTAATCACGTTGCTTTGCTAGTACCATTATTATTAACTTGCATAAAATTCTAAGTCTGGTCTATGAGAAGAACTAAACATTTGACCTTAGACATTTAGCAATAACATCTAATATGGTTTAGTTTGAACGAACCATACATAACTTCTTGTTTGCAGCTTATTTGTGAAAGGTTGTGTTTTGTGGGGTTATGTGAAGGACTTGTTCATGATTTACTAGGTGACCTATGTTGCATGAGTACGGTTACGGATGCGGTGCAGATGCGAGTATGGGTAAGGACACGACAAATTTATTAGAAGTAGGGTATGGGATCTCGACTATATAACAATGAAATTTAATAAATTTACATGAGATCAATAATTTTTTTTCTCATTCAAATGTTATGAGAATCAAAATTTGTATAACACTTTTATTTCTCATTCAAATGTATCTCCCGAAAAAGCTATTGGAATTACCGGCGACTTGGGTTGATTCGCCGGTGGTTGAACTTTTGTTGGCAGCTGTTTCGGCCTCCATACTTGGCGGGTTGATGGCGGCTTCTTGATTACCTCTTTCTGCAGCTTTCTACGGGCTTCTTCGACTTGAGCTCGTGCCTGCGCTGATAGTGCACGGCGTTTGCGAATGCGCTCCTCCAGTGTCGAACGGTTCCGTTTGACACGGACCCATTCGTTCGTTGGCGGCTTGGAGGAGTCGCCATTCATCGGCCGTTGAGGCTGTTTGCCTCTCCCGTTCTTTGCTTTGCTAGTACCATTATTATTAACTTGCATAAAATTCTAAGTCTGGTCTATGAGAAGAACTAAACATTTGACCTTAGACATTTAGCAATAACATCTAATATGGTTTAGTTTGAACGAACCATACATAACTTCTTGTTTGCAGCTTATTTGTGAAAGGTTGTGTTTTGTGGGGTTATGTGAAGGACTTGTTCATGATTTACTAGGTGACCTATGTTGCATGAGTACGGTTACGGATGCGGTGCAGATGCGAGTATGGGTAAGGACACGACAAATTTATTAGAAGTAGGGTATGGGATCTCGACTATATAACAATGAAATTTAATAAATTTACATGAGATCAATAATTTTTTTTCTCATTCAAATGTTATGAGAATCAAAATTTACATAATTAGTGTTTTAAGTTAAAACATGTTTTGTATAATTGCGTCCACGTTCAAATAAATGTATGCACACATACAAGGAGCGTTCCAAGGAGTGCCAGGTACGGGTACAGGAAGTGTCGGGTACGGCTTCATAGCAGTGTCCATGCAACACAGTAGGAGACTATTCATTTTATCAGTAGTGTTGGTTGATTGCAGTGCCCTTTTCTAGTTTTTAGCTCATAACGCAAGTCCTTTTAGTAAATAGTATTATAGTAGACAACTCCAAATTTCTAACTCTTTAAAGGTTACAGAAGTCTTTCTATGTAAATCTCGTCTCTGCAGCATTATGCTTGAATTGATAATACATATGTGTTAGTTCATTAGTTCTAATACTTATGAATAATATACTTTATTAGTTTAGACTTTTGATCAAAGGATTCAAAGCTACATAGTTAAAATGTTGTGCATGTGATAAGTTGTAGTTCGAGTGCCGACCTATAGTTGCTAGGATAAATATATTATTTCCATTTCAGTTTTAAATGAACCATACTTAAATTATATTCAAATATGTTTCTCATAAATGCGTGACAGACGTGGAAACATGGGGAAGTGCATAGTTTCACATAACTATGAAACATGCTATTAAGTGAGATGCTCATACAGAAACTACTGGAGACAGTTCCCACTATTTTCTGCTTGTATTTGCATCTTTACCTTAAGATGCCTAATATCATGTATGTTATTCTTGGTTTTTCATATCACGTATATTTCAAGTAAGTAATCAAAGCATGCCCCTCCTCCAGTCTTTAATTTTCTGCAGATAAGTTTTCAGTGGAGCACAGGCGTCGCATTCTATTTTTCATTTTGTTTTCATTATGTTTGACTGTTTGAGTGTGACACTTACGTACTTATTTTGTGCCAGCTCTTATGCTCCAAACAAAACAGTTTTCTACCTGCAATTTTATCCTTACTTGAAACATCTTTTGCTAAAAGGATCTGGAAAGGACTGAACTTTCATCCTAGTGTCCGTGTTAACTGTTAAGCCTTCATTCATATGTAGGTAATGCGTAGAAGCACAAACGGATCAAAAAGCTTACTTTAAACCATTTTATGAATATTCAATTCGGAACATGTACTGTATTTGGTTGCAATGAAGGTGGATGTTTTTTTAGATGGGGTTTAGATAATTAAGAATTTAAGATTGAAATGTGAATTTAGATTTGTATCATGCTGATGTTCGTTTATTTTATGAAATACTTTGAAGATAGAGATTGAAATGTGAATTTAGATTTGTATCATGCTGATGTTCGTTTATTTTATGAAATACTTTGAAGATAGTCATCTATGGAACACACTTAATTGTGATCATGCTGATGTTCGTTTATTTTATGAAATACTTTGAAGATAGTCATCTATGGAACACACTTAATTGTGGTGCAAGATTGCTGATAAAAAACATCGCATGAAAATGTACGTGACTTAGCTTGATTAATAACAGGTCCACACAAGTACATCCATGCAGTTTTGCTGTATCTCTGACATATGTGGTTATGGAAATCTTAGCACGTGTTCAAGAAGCATTTAGTTATGGAAATCTTAGCACACAAGTCATTTGACATCCACTTTGTGGCAACAGGACATGTTTGGCTATTAGAATGTGGGCCTGAAGCAAATTTTGATTTTTTGTGGGAGCAATTAGTATCGTCCTATCTTTACTTTTATAACATGAAATTATTTATCATAATTTGGTTAGACATTGAAGGTCAATATTTAAAGTTTTTAGCCGATATTTAAAGTTTACTCATGACCACTAAAAAAACAGGTTTGAGCGTTTTAAAAGATGTCTGACAATTGCATCTGCAGGTGAAACAAGCTGTTCTGGGAATTCATGGCACTGGTCCCCAGTTTGCAGGAATCAGTTTCCTTGAATCCTTGGTATTTTCTGTTGACTGTTATGTCTCATGTTGCGTATGCTATATCCTGATTCACAATTTTACTTTCAGGTTTCAGAATTTTCACCCACAACATCAACTGCTATGGGTCTGCCCAAAGAGTTCCATGGACAGTGTCAATCACTGCTGGAGTCTAATTATTTGAAGGTTTGCTTTGATTGTTCAGAATCTTTTCCCTGAAGTTTAATGCATTCGATAATTATTGTTAACTGCTTCTTTATTCTCTTGAATTTGGTACTTCTTTTCTCAAACTTTTGCTCATGACTTTTATTACTCTGTTACAACTTCAATTCTTCATGTAGGAATTTTACTGCTGGGCCCAAAATGCTGCCTTGAGTGTGACTGATAAAATATTAAGGGATAGTCCGACTGTATCAGAAGATAAAGTTTGTTCTGCAGCGTTACGCCTTATGTTTCAGATTTTGAACTGGAATTTCAAGCAAACTTCTTATGATCCTTCTGGTGGAAAAATATATTCCTGCTCTTCTGGAATTAGTTACGAAGCCTCCTTGCTGAAGAAGTTTGAACGTTGCTTGGTGCAGGTTGGCTTCTGTGGCTTATTTGACTCTAATATGTTCCATACATTCTTAGACGACTATGACGCTAAATTTTTTTCCTGCTCTTATCAAAGTGGATTTGCACATTGCCATTATGAGGAACCATATTCTCTGAATTTGTTTAAATCTTGCGCTCATGTTAATTGTCTAAATAATCCCTGTAATCTGCTTGTAGCCAGGACCCACATGGCGTGATGCTTTGTTGTCAAGTGGACACATTGTTTGGCTTCTGAATTTGTATGCAGCACTCCGCCAAAAATATTCATCTGATGTGATATGGGTAGATTCACCACTTGCTGTATCTGCTAGACAGCTTATAGTACAGTTCTGCTCTTTGTCTGGGGCTATTTTCCCTTCTGGTAAAACTGTTCGAACAACTCCATTGATACCAGAAACTATATATTTTTTCTTAAATAATATATTGCTGCTCCGTTCTGTTCTATTTATCATAATTCCTTTATTATATGGTAGTTAGAGAATTCAAAAGTTGGTCTGTGATGCATGTACAAGTTACTGTTGTTATTTTCGTATTTCTTAAAGAAACAAGGTGTTTGCTGTCTTTCAGTGAAGTGTTTGTAAACCCCTTGCATGTGTAGCACCATGAAGGTTGGTTTAATTCACATCTTGGGCATTGCATCCATCTGGACACCTTGGGAAATGTGTTACAACTTTGGTATAAGACACTGTGGTTCCTGATGTAAGTTTATGATATGAACTGGGTTAAGTATTAGTTGATTTCTTGGAAATGGGGATTGCCTGAAATTGAATTTGTTAGAAGGGATTAAACATTTAAGAAAGGAACACCGCATTGTTATAAATCAGAGAGTTAAAAAAGTTGCTTAAATTTCTTCTTGCTAATAGACAATTCATTACTTGCTTTGTTAGGAGGATCCTTATCCTTTCACAGATTTGTTTGCCAGTTAACATGTTCTATTATTTACAATAGTCATGCTAACCATATATTTAGGTGTTTAGGTGCTCAAGTGCTGTCTAAACTTCAGGAATGATAGTTAATGTTCAAATTTCTGTTGAAACCTTGAAAAAAATTGCTGATCTAATGGCTTGTTTGGATTGAGGAGAATAAGGGAGAAGGGAAGTTAGGGGAACCATTCACCTTGTTTGGGAACATTTAGGAGGTGAAGTTATTCACCCTAGTTCCCCTTAGTTCACCCCTTAATAGTATAAAATTTGTTACCCCTCAAATTGGGGTGTAACCAAGGGGAAGAGAACTCCCTTCCCTTCCATTCTCTTCTCTCACTTAGTTTCCCTTAACTGCCCTTAACCCCATTGAAATCCAAACACGCCCTAAAGGCAGGATATAGTTATATCACAGACTAGTTTGTTTTTTAGCTGTGCTGACAGTCCATTTGCAATGATGTTGACTGGAGCACTTGATTGTAACTGAAAAACCAATGACACAGCAGTCTATTTGCATTTAGTATTTTGTCTTGAAGCCACCGTCTGAGCTCAAGCAATTGATTGCATGACGAAAATAGTATGTCTATATCATGGATGAGTGAATAGGAATCGACAGGGTTGAGAGAGAGATTGACATCTCATTATGCTCCTACCATCATTCCTAAATCGTCAAAATCCAAGGGCATTTTCCCTATCTGTTCAGTAAAACATCTCAAGTTTTTGAACTACAGTTGGCTGTACCCATTGTTGGTCTGGCAAAGTTTCATGAAATGAGTGAAGCACCTAAAACTTATTCAATAGTGGTTATATTGCAAAGTAGTAGGTTACCCGGACACTTCATCTAGGCTCCCGTATCAGTGGATCGTGGCAAAACTCCCGTATCAGTGGATCGTGGCAGACACTTCCCGTATCGCTGTCTGTGTCCGGCGCTTCTTGGACACTTCTTGAATATATGCATGCATTTATTCATTGTGTACTCAATTATATAATAATACATATTTTAGTTTAAAACATTTGTGATACACATCTTGGCTGTATATTTTACAATTTACCTCAAGTTTTTGCAACTCATTGGACTCAAGTTGGGTTCATTTCCGACCATTACCCAGTTCATAAGTATGACTTCAAAGGGTCATTTGGGTAACTAATTAAAAACGAACGGTTTTTCAATTTATAATCTACGCAAATAAAAGAAAAATAGAAATGCCATCGGAATTTTAGTTCTCATAACATGTGAATGAAAAAACAATAATTATTGCATATAAATTATTAATTTCTATATGTATATATATAGACTTGTCCCCATATCCTATCTTTTACAATTTTCTCGTGGTGTTTGTGTCCGTACTTGTGCAACATAGAAAATTACTCTTATGCTGGATCAAACAAAGATCTTATATATGCGTCACTGTTGCATTTTTTCTGTTAATGTTATTGATCTTATTTAGAGGACGGATCCCTAATGAAATTTTTATTTTTATTCAGGTAGATACTTTTCTTGTCGAAAACATGTTGACTCTATTAGATAGACAAAAAAGTGACCTCATCAACTTCCAAAGAATGAAATAAATGATGAATATTTGAAGAACCTGATCCTGTGATCCAGAAATCTTTTGTATTACTTGAATTTTCCTATTACATGGATATGGGTGTGGGTACAGGTGCGGGACATGGAAAATTTGGAGCAGGTAGGGTTGGGGAACACGGCTTCACACACTTGTATACATAATAATAATTTACATGAGATCAATATTATGTTTTCATTCACGTGCTATGAAATAAAATTCCTATAGTATTTATATACTAGTTTTATTGCACATGTAATGCACATGATTAAATATCAAAATTCTTTATTTTTGGTTTATTACAAAAAATTGACAAAGAAAAATAGTGTAAGACAATAAAGAGACATACCTCTTGAAGAAGATGAAAGTGCTATGAAAAATGTGTAATTTTTGAAATATATATATATATATATATATATAGGTGTGTGTGTATGTATGTGTATATATATAAGTATGAGATGTTACATGTGAGAAGATAACAACTGTAAATAGAGTTCTACTTGGATAATAATTAGTATTGAAGTAAGATAGGATAAAGTAGGATAACAATTGTAAACAGAGTTTTATTTGAAATTGTTAGATGCTAATTCCTAATGCCTAACCAATAATTTTAGCTGGAAATTAACTGAGTCGTCCATATTCTACATCCACACAGAAACTTATGACCATATTCCAAGAGATTCGTTTGACTATATCTTACTTGGTTCTCGGTTTTATTAAAATTTATTTTTTTTAAATAAGAAAGTTTGCTCAAGTATCCAGCATTGAGCTCATGTAAAGTTTTTTTCAAATTGTATACGATGTTAATTACAGGTACGTTTGTTGATGGAAAGAGTTGGAAATTTGTGGCATCGATGTTTCTGATAGGTTGCTACCAATATGACAATTTATAATTTGGCTATTGACAGTTTATAGATACAAATAACGTTGCTTTTTGTCAAAAAAAGGTTTGCATCAGTTATATGTGTGTTAATTTACTTGTCATAATTTTCTTTAATATGCAAATGTTTTGAGGATAGATTAACATGTGCAGAATTTATACATGGCCTAATTGCACTAAATACCCGATAGATTCCCCTACTTTGCACCCACAGTGATGGTAATCAATAGTGGTTAGATTGGTCTTCATTCAGAAAAATAAACTGGTCCAAAGAGATACATGAAGTACAAAGGGAAATACAGGTCGATTAATCCAACTTGGTGATTACCAATGAATAGAACAATGTAGTCGTCTTCTACTACTTCAATTAATTAATTAGTCCAGGAATAATTTTAAACGGCAATGAAGACAACAACAGCAAAAGGTAAATATAAATTATTATTTAAAATTGACAAATAAAAATAGTGCAAGTCAATAAAGAGACAAACCTCTTGAAAAAGATGTAAGTGCTATGAAAATTGTGTAATTCTTGATTTATATGTATAGATATGGGATGTTGCATGTGAGAGGATAACAATTATAAATACAGTTCTACTTGGATAATAATTAGTATTGAAGTAAGATAATGAAAAAGGAGGATATCAATTGTAAACATAGTTTTATTTCAAATTGTTAGATGCAAACTCTTAATGCGTAACCTAAAATTTTAGTTGGAAATTAATATCATGGATGCATGTGTGCCATAATGATCTAGGTAGTTCAGAATCTTAGTTGGTATCATGTTAAAAGTGACTAACATTTTATTCGTTTTTTAATATTTTATCTTAGTTCGTATTAGATTCCTAACCTAAAATTATAGTTGGAAATTAATATCATGGATGCATGTGAGTAATAATGATCTAGGTAGTTCAGAATCTTAGCCCGATGCATTCTTTTAGATTTCTTTTAGATAGATTTTAGAATAATATTAATTAGGATAGGATAACAATATTTTACAGTGATGTTAGGGTAGGTTATGATTAAATTAAAATGTAACGTTTAAAATGTTGAGCGGTAATTTTGACTTTGGAAAGCTTTTCCTGAATTCATACTTTCAAAGGGAGTATGAATTCTTTCATAATATAGGTCTATAAATTTTCTAATTGCTCACTTTTTAACTTGATGTCCAAAGGACCCTTCATAATCATAGTTTTGAGCTGGATACCGGCTGAATGAATCCAACTTATGTCCAACGCTTTGCATGTGAAGCGTAGGATACACGTCCAGGAAGTACAGGACGACGTACATGATGATTGTTTTAAATTAAAACATGTATTATATAATTGAGTACACATTTGAATAATTGTATGCAAATGTCCAAGAAGTGTCAACTGAAGTTTTGGTGTTGGGCACGACACGGGTATGGCCCCAAATAGAAGTACCCATGCAACATACAATGCAACATAGATTGTTTCTTTGATCATTATAGCCTAGAAATCCAGATTCACATATATAAAATTAATTTTGAGATATGGACATTTTGTTATTGTATTCATGAGTTAGATTTTCAGAATTTGACATATCCGCATATCTGTGTCATATCTCATTTTCGAACCGGCGCAACTTTGTTGGTGACTGACATGCACTGTAGAAATACCTATATTTATTCTGTTCTTGGAAGCAATAACATACATACTTGCAAGAACATGTAGCTTTTTCCCCTTAGTTTGTATTGTACAGTGCAGTTCATTTTCTAACGTGTTACGAGAAAGGTCTTTATTTAATTTCAAACTTGTGTTCTTTGGTTCTGACAATGTTCTGTATGGAGAGAACTCCACGTAGTTTACCTTCAATACGTCAATTTTAATTTCCTTTAACCAAGTATTCCATATCTTTAGATAATGGAGAGATGCAAATTAAGCATCTGCTGCAGATATTGTCATCAGTTATACATTGGATTGAACCTGTAGATGCTGTTATAGAAGCAATCATATCTGGAAGAAGTGAAAGGTATCAGTTAAACCCAGTTCTTGTTACAGAATGTTCAGAGGTTAATTTTCTCATGTTATATATTTTGTTATTGCTTTTCAGTGAGTTGGTTGATGGTTGCCATGTGTTGCTTTCTATAGCCACGTTGACTAGGGCCTTCCTGTTTGACAACCTACTAAGGTCTCTAAGGTTAGTAGTTCTATTTAACCACATGATCTGATGGTAAACTGTATAAACAAAATTATATGGTTTTTTAGAATGGGAGTGAGGCATGGAGAGAACGATGCACTAGTCTATGATGTCAGCAAGTTGTTACCGCTGCCAAATATAGAATATCATTATAGATTACACTATTGCATTTACTGTTCATTGAACCATTCTAGAACTGCAGAACAATATTACTATTATGGATTTTCAGTCTTGGTCGTCTATCTTAAGTTTACTTTTGGAGTTTGGAGTGAGGGAAAGATTTAAAGATTAGAGCTATACAAGATTAGGGCTTTTCTGATGACATTTTCTTAAACTTTCAGATCTTATGGTACACTTCATCTGTTGTCTATCATGACATGTGAGGTTGTAAAAGCTGATGTAGCCAGAAGTAGTGAAGAGGAAACATGGACTGCAGAGGCTCTGGATATTTTACTCGAAACATGGAGTGTCATTCTTGGGGTATGTTAGAATTCTGTGCGAACTTCTTATCATATATGATATATCCATAATGATATATTATGTATTATTCTTCCTGTCATTTCTGTGGATTAGTTGATATTGGTGCATTGTTGCTTATGTTCTTAGTGGTCTTGCTATCATCATTATTATGGTTATCATGTAAATCTGTTTCATCCCTCCAAAAATGTGTCTGCAAATGACTTGGTTTCAAGATCGCTAATGGTCTCTCTCTCTCTCTCTCTCTCTCTCTCTCTCTCTCTCTCTCTCTCTCTCTGTCTTGCTGTCATCATCATCACTATGGTTATCATGTAAATCTGTGTCATCCCTCCAAAAATGTGTCTGTAAATGACTTGGTTTCAAGATGGTTATTGCTAATGGGCTCTCTCTGCTTGTCAACCTGACGACATCCTCCACAGGTGTTGCCAGATTCTTGACCAAGGTATTATGAGACAGCATATCTCCCTCATGAGATATGATAGCCAGAGTCTGTGATTGGTGGTTTGTTTAACCTACCTTCTCCAGTTATGCATTTTAGGCTCCTGGAACCATGGAATTACAAGTATCCTGTGTTTAAATGAGTTTAGCTGATAGGCAAGGCATTCAAGTTCCTATAGGTAACTACTTCATGTCTGAGACACAAGTCACAGAGTGAGCATCACATAAATTCTTAATTGAATATGCTTATTAAATATCAACTGTACCTCAGTGGAAAGCTGGCTATAAAGAAAGTAGTTTTTCGCAGAAAGGCCTTACTCTTTCTTTTTTCTCCTGTTGTTAGATTAGTGCCTTGGAAATTGTGTAGCTTTGTCTATTTTATACTTGGTTAAATCATGTATTATGCTTGCACTTTCTTGTTCTCTGGGGAATATCTTGTTCATTTGTTGTCTATTTCATTGAGGGTTTCTTGCATTCCATCTGCAGCGACCAGATACTGACAAGAACTCAATCTCAGCTGAAGGAGTTACTTCTGCAGCCACGTTATTTAATAGTACTGTGGAGTCTCTTCTGCATGGTATAATTTTGCAAAGATTACTCTATGTTTCAGTTAAATTCGTGGGTACTATTTTAATCGTATAAAGCTTTAAAGCAATATTTAATGCGTCAGCACGGTAGATCAGAACAATAGCTCTCCTTCCATGCCATACGACAAAGTAAAGAAAAGAAAAGAAATAAATATGTATTCATACGCCCGCAGGGTGGTCACTTGTTGGCTTACTTTCTCCTCCCTTTACCTGGGCCAAAATCCACTAACCAATTTCCCACAGCAGTAGTTAAGAGGTCATCTGATGGAACTGTAGTCACTATCTCCAAGAAATCTGCTAGTGAATAATATATTAGTCTTGCTGGAGAAGCAGACTTTCATTTGCACTCACAGATGCTAGCCCCAACATGTGTTCAACATTGAATTCTTGTTAGTAGATTGTAGTGTAAGTATATTTCTTAACTGATGGTATTAATAAATTTTTTATATAGCTGCCGCTGAATCAGCATTTGATGATGAAAATGAATCCGAGCATTTTGTGGCGTCCATATCAAGTATGTTACATTTTTTCTCCTGCTTATATAGTTATATGGCTTTTTCATTCTGCTACCTCTTATAGTTTAAACTTTTTGTTGTCATCATCCCCTTCAGAGAGGGATGAAAGGCTAGGGTCATATGCTCTTATTGCACGGGCAGCATCTGAGATTACTATTCCTTTTCTGACAAGGCTATTTGCTGATCGTTTCTCCCTCCTTAATCAGGTATGCTAAATTTAGTTGTTTCCTTTATAATTTTATTCACGTCTCTACAAATATATCAGTTCTGGCCATGATTTTTTGTGCCATGCTAATTATGTTGCACGGGCACACTTTGGAAGCCCATATATTTGTGCCCATACACACACACACACACACACTAACATGTGCAAGATACTGGTTGGCTCACAGGCATTGTACAATTTGGATATGGTTGAGTTTGGGGAAAATGATTTTTAGTGATGAAATTGTACAACTTGTACTGTATATATGAAATTGCATTCACATGATTTATATCGATGAAATTGTAGGTATGAACAACTTATTACTTGCTTTTAAACATCTTTATTACCATTCAGGATGCATGATATTCTTTAAAGAACTGAGAGGAATGGAGATTTTCCTTGATAGTTTGCTGTGTACAAAGGCTAGATTTATAGCCACAAATGGTAACAAATTTATTAGTAACAAATTTTAGCCCATAGTTGCATCTCTAGGGAGTTGTTGCACCAGCTGGAGATTTTGATTGAAGAGAATCAGATTTAGTTAATACTCCCGTGCAAGTTGATGGGCGATCTTTGACCAACAACTTGGGACGAAGAGAGTCAATCGAGCAGTGGCGAGAGCCTTGGTAAAGATGCGCAAGATTTGAGCAAAAGAGGCAATGAACTGAATCACTTGACCAAGTGACGCGCTTCCGAAAAAAGTGATCGTCAGTCCGAATGTGCTTCGTTTGAGCATGGAAAATTGGCTTGGTGGTTAAATAGATTGTCGAAACATTATCGCAATAGATAGTTGGAGGAGCATTAAGAGGAATGCTAAATTCATGAAGAAGACTCTTAATCCACATGACCAAATTCATGAAGAAGACTCAATCCACATGACCTCACAAGTGGCATTAGCAAGAGCTTTGTATTTAGACTCCTATTCGAGCGAGAGACAATCCGTTGTTTCTTGGAGCCCCATGAGATGAAATTAGAACCCAAAAACACTGAGAAGCCACCAACAAAGTGATGATCAATCAAATCACCCGTCCAGTCAGCATCAAATGATCAATCAAATCACTCACCCAATCAGCATCCATGTAAGCTGATAATTGCAAATAAAAGGCTTGGTAAGATGGAGACCATATGTAGCAGTATGTTGAAGGTACAAAGGATATGCTTAACAACAATCCAATTTTGAACAGCGAGAGCATGCATAGATTAGCAAGCTTGACAAATAGCAAAATCCAAATCGGGCCTAGTCAAGGTAAGGTACTGTGGTGCCCCAACCTTGTTTCGGTAGAGGGCCGGATTAGGAAAATGATCAACACCATTTGGGAAAGGTCGAGTGACAGTATGTTGAAGGTACAGAGGATATGCTTAACAACAATCCAATTTTGAACAGCGAGAGCATGCATAGATTAGCAAGCTTGATAAATAGCAAAATCCAAATCGGGCCTAGTCATGGTAAGGTACTGCGGTGCCCTAACCTTGCTTCGGTAGTGGGCCGAATTAGGAAAATGATCAACACCATTTGGGAAAGGTCGAGTGACAGTGGTGATTAGGTACAGTTGAAGAAGCATGTGTGTTGAAGGAAATTAGTCACATATTTGGCCTGAGTAAGAAGAAGACTGATTAGGGTGCGAGAAGCCTTAATGGTAAGGAAGAAGGTCAAGGGACTCAAGTCCTTCATAGTAAACTTACATCCAAGATTGTGAATGAGGAATGGCAAATGTGCTTCGAGGTTGTTGGTGAGGATGATGTCGTGAACATAGATAAGCATAAAAATCACACACTTGTTCATCGAAGAAAGAAGAGTCGGCCTTGGAGCTAATGAAGCTTAATTGGAGAAGAAACGAGCTCAAGCGAAGGAACTAAGTGCGTGGAGCTTGCATGAGGCCGTAGAGAGATTGTTGAAGTCTGGATGATCACGATCTATGAGTCTTGGGGGTTGCTTCATATAAATAACCTAATCAAGATTGCCGTGTAAGAAGGCGTTCTTGACATCTAGTTGGTGGACTGGCCGTCCACGAGACATTGCAAGAGAAAGCATTGTGCGGATGGTGACCGACTTAACGACCGGGTTGAAAGTGTTGTGCTAGTCAACACCTTCTTGTTGGTTACACCCTTTTCAAGGTTTTAAATATCGGTTATCGGGGATTTATCAGACGATCAAAATCCTTATCGAATAGCGAAAATCGGGGATATATCGGTGATATGTAGTATTTATTGGAGTGACATACTGAATGTTGTATATATATAATATAATAACAAAAAATGTAATCTAATCATGCTTATTGAAATATAAACGTCAGCGGAGGTGAGCTTGGAGGCCGGGGAGGCGAGCGACGTTGGTGGAGGTGGGCTTCGAGGTCGGGGAGGCGAGCGACAGGATCAACGGAGTTAGAGGGAACTGAGATCTTGAGCTCGATGGAGTTCAAAGAGGCTCGGAGAACAGCCGCACAGAGTGGGAGAGAGATTCACGAAGGATTAGGGTTGAACTTGAAGTTAGAAACTTTATTTTATTGTCAAAAGCGGGTCGGGTCGGGTTTAAGAACTTATTAAGTAACATCCCATTACCCAACAATTCAACTCAAAACTCACGCTGATAAAGTCGATATTTTCAGCCTCCCTTATCGGCTGATGAGTGCTTTTATCGCCGATAACTCGGCGATAAACCCATAAAAACGATAATCGATTAAAAATCCTACTTATCCTAGCGGAAAACTCCCAAATCCGATAACTCGGCAATAATATCGGATTATCGACCGATATTTAAAACCATGACCCTTTTGCTACAAGCCGAGCTTGATAACGATCGATGGAACCATCAACATGTTTCTTTAATTTGAAAACCCACTTGCAGCCAATAACATCGACATTAAGTGGTGGTGAAACAAGTAGGATTGCATCATGTTCAGATACGATTCAGATATGACCCTTACCATATTCGTATCCGCTTTCTAAAAACGAATTTAGGTACTATTCAGTAAGAAAAAGTCATAACCATATCCGCATTGAATGACAACAGATACAATTAGATATTAGAGGTAGATATTGATATGATCACGGATACAAAACATATATTTTGAAAATGGATATGGCTTGGATATGAATTGGATATGACAAAAAATATGTGTAATCGTGTATAATTTGCATATTTAAAATCATATGCTAATAAAAAACCGTGGTAACAAATAGTTCACTACATAAATACTTCTGACCCATGCCGCTACTGCATCTTCTTTACACTCATTAGTATGCTACTGGAGCTCAAAACTATCAGGTAGAAAAATCCTTCTAAGTCAACCTTAATATTATAATGATTCCTCTGAAGATATAAAAGAGAAGCAAGAACTATCAGCCTTGCGTTCTAATATACCGAACATAATCAAGTTATGAGATGTAAGATGACCTGGCAACATGCAGACAATTAAATGGACATGAATCTTAATTATATCCAAACTGACATTTGTTTATGTGATTTAAGACTTAATTGGGGCAAGTGAATTAGGCCTTTTAATTTGGGCTTGTGAATCTGGGCTTTAATTTAGGCTTTCGAGTTGACTTTGTGGATGGATGATGGCTAAGGAGGAGGATCACCGAAGATGAAGAGGAGGTTGGTAGATTTGATAGTTGTCGCCTAGTCGATAAAGGAGCAGAGGAGGGTTTGATGATCGTTGAGTGGAGGAACAGAATTAGATGAAGGGGTTATGATGGATGAAGATGGAGTGCCGAGCCCTGGAGCTTGCAAGCTTGAATGCCATCTTTGAGTGAGGAACCGACAAAGGAAGATGGAGTGAGGAACGCCATTACTGAGAAGGGCATTTTACTCGTCAATCATGGCTTCATGCTTGAGTGAAATTGGCTGGATCCATGACATTGAGTTGTCGAGAGGACAGAGGCGAGGAGGAAGAGTGCCATCATCGTAACGTGTGACCATCGAGTGTGACGGTCACAAAGGAGCATTCGCAGGTGGTGGCACAGGAGGAACAAGGTCGACAGTTGTCAGATGAGACTACATAATCTCAAGCAGCGCAAGTTGCAACAAATGACGCCCCAGCCACGAGTATCGATTGGGGCACTACTGTCTGCGTTGGAGCGATGACAATGGCTGGAAGTGTAGCGCTGATGGTGGAGAGGCTTGACGTAATGGACATGTGCATCACTAATAGACTAGCAATGGCCGGTCGTTGTTCGCAGTACTAGTCCTAGCATTTCTTGTGATTGAAATAGATACCTATAGAGACACAAGGTTGCACGGGAAAAATATTCACATCACCGGGCACATGGATGGGGGGAGTAATACAAGTGTGCTTGAAGGAAATGCATGTTCATCAAAAAATGCATTGATAGCAATGAAGATTCATGCGGAGGTAGGTTTGAGACAACGATAATCATGATAACCCATAGGGTATCCAAGAAAGACACAAGGGAGGAATCGTGGTTGTAGTTTATTGTGATTGTAGGGGGGCAAAGGTGAGGAAATAAAGAGAACCAAAAGAGTAAAAAAAGTGTAGTCAGACTTGTGATGAAAGATTTCCCTAGGCGTCAACCCCTTTAGGTTAGGTGTAGGAAGACGATTAATAAGGTAAGTTGTGGTTTTCAATGCAAAGGGCTAGAAATTGAGTGAAACGCTCGAGTGATATAAGAGAGAAAGGCCTGTTTTCATAGTGTATCGTTGTTTTTGTTCGAAAGACCCATTGTGTTGGTGAGTGTGTGGACGAGAGATTTGATGCCTTATACTATTAGTTGGGAGTTTGTTTTGGAATCTAAACAAATTCACCTGCCCCATCAATTTGGAGAAACTTAATATTGGTACTTAACATATTCTCATCATGTCCGCAAAATTTAACAAAAATATCAAACACATCTGAACGTTAAACAAGAGGATAAAACCAAGAAAATTAGAGTAATCATCTGGAAAATGGATATAGTAGCGCTGGCCATTACAAGAAGAAACCGGGGCAGGTCTTCGGATGTCCGAATGAGCTAACTCTAAATAAAAAGACGATACAGATAAAGTAGAAGAAAATGGAAGCCTATGATATTTGCTCATTGCTCAAGATGAGCACAACTTATTTTCACTTGGCGAAAAAGAAAGAGACGCCTGGGAAAGGATAGTGTGAACCATATCCATGGCGGGATGACCAAAGCGATGATGCCACATATCTAGAGAGGGGAACATATAGTCGAGGCGAGGAGATATTGCAAGAGGAGAGGTGGTAGACGCCATCACGAAGATCCCCCGTGATTGCGGCCCATGCTGTGATCCTTCACAAGACAATAAGAAGTTCGAAAACACAATTATTATCAGCAGTAAACTTTGCAGCTGAGAGGAGAGGAGATATTTGGAATGGAAGGAACATAAAGGGTATTATGGAGATGAAGCTGACGATTATTAATTTAATTATTATGGTGATGTGTATACTGGTGTTAACTGTCGTAAAAATCTCAAAGTTCACATTTGAAACAGGTTTTATTGTTATTATTTATTCTGCAATTTAACAGAAATGCATGGGAAAATAGGGTTCATATAGGCAACCACCCTACTGTTTAGGATGAAGGCGCTATGATAATTTTGCTCAAATTTACAGGTAGCTTTGCCTTGGCTGCGAGTGGAGTCGTAGCAAGTATGGTGATGTTTCTAATTTGTGCATGGCTGATTTTGCTGAATGATTAATAAAATCATATATATATATTATTCAGCTGGAGCCTGGCTGTGCAGAAGAGTGCTTAATGCTATTAATGTTTTCTAATGTTTATTCCTGTATTAGTCGATATAGATGTTCTGATAATGTTGCTAATAAACTGTACTATAGGTATCAGTTACATTTACATTTATAGATTTTGAGCAGAATGCTGAAGTATGTCAACATTTCTATCATTTCTTCATATTTCATAACAGAACAATGGGAGAAGTGATCCCACTCATACATTGGAAGAACTTTACTGGCTCTTGCTGATAACAGCTCATGTTCTCAGTGATTCATCTGAGGGAGAGACAGTTCTTGTAAGTTCTTCTGAAATTTTATTCTGCAACTAAATTTCCAGTCTCCTATCATATATTTTCTATTTGTTTAGCACAGAACTACCACCCTTTGGTTTTGATTCAGTTACATTTTTGCGTATATATATATTTTTTCTATTGTTGTTATGTTTGCATACTGCACCTTGAAGGTATCCAACCTTTTAGGCTCTTCTGGCAAACATTAGCATTCTGACACCTGCTCTCTCTTGCATGCCAGTCATTCTCTTATTTTCTAGCTGTATATATATGAACTGCTTTCGATTGCATCCAGTTCATTAATTTTTTAAGAAACATATTACTTAGGCATATTTGAGAGCTTACTTTAAGTTTGTAATGCCAGATTCCGCAAGCGTTGGAGGATGCATTTCCTAATGTCCTGGAAGAAAACCAGCATCCTGTAGTTATCATTTCATGGTGAGTTTGTTTCTACAATATGATTGTTCATCTTCATTGTTGAATCCAATATATTTTGTTTTTCATTTGCTGCTGTGAGGCAGCTACTGTTTAGGTGGGATGGAAAAAATGACTGCATATTTTGCTGTTCTTTCTGCAGCTATATATGATACAGCTCTTAATAAGTGAATGATGCTAATTTTCTTGTGGACCAATTTAGAAAATAATATATGCTTATATTATATTAAAAACTGTTCAATCCATTAAAAATAAAGTTCCAACCTCACAAACATTTGAGATAAACAAATAAACATGAAGGTGGAAATAGGAATTGTGGTAGAATGAGTTGGAGGAGAGAGCGGTTATTTGCGAAAGGTTAAGAGTATTTGAGAGAAGAATAGGTCCTTTGCCTTTGTCTTTCTGTATAAGACTTGGTATCTCACTATTATTGTTTTTCACAATTCACAACTTTGATGGCTCTTTTGCACTAAAATATTAAGTTAAACACATAAATAAATTTTATCATGCCTCTAGACCCACAATGGAAAATAAAGCTGAGGTTATGCGAGTGTTGCGGCCCGTCTAGGAGACAAATCTCACACATGCCCTCCATGGATTCCCATCATAGAGGCGCTAAAATCACTATGAAAATTTCATAATAAGAAGATATTACTTGCCAACAATAAAGTTTCAGAGCAAAAACTACATAATACAAATGTGCTGTTTTGCTTGTCCTTGTTTTCCCTCTCTTCTCAAATAAAAATAATATTTTTTTCCTCGTAGTAGCCACAGCAGAAACTCAGGTTTTGCATTCATATCTAGCATCCATATCTAGCATCTTCATCTTTGTACGTGCATTACAACCCATCTTAATTGCAGAGATGCTCCTTTATTATTCACTTGTTTCTGTTCCATGGTTAATGCAGGTCTATCATTGATTTTTCAAGATGGTGTTTAGACCAAAATATGAGAACGACATATTTTAGCCCGCGCCTTATGGAGGTATTTCACATAGAGAAAGTCCCTAATAGTAGCTTGATTTGACACTTCCGCACCTGATATCTGATATTGATATTTCAAACTTTGTGACACACATATTACGAGTTGCTTTGGAGCATGTTGGGCTTCCAAATTAGTCCCTCAAATGGACACAAATGCTTTTCCAGCATAAGCAATCTGTTATGAGTTTTATAGGATTTAGTGTTTATCTCAAATATGATGTTCTTGGTGTCTGGCCAATCTAAGCTAATTGTCAGGGAATTACATTGGGAAAACCCAAGATATATCAATTTGCCAAAATATGAGATTCTGTTATTTTATCATGATTTGTGCAACCACATAACCAGTAGATTGTATAGATTATATATGTTGTTGGGTGATGTCTATATAACAGATTGCTTATGCTAAACTGTTTTGTATAAGGTACTGCCTTTGTAGACAATCTAAGGGTCATTTCATTACTGTTGGAAATTTTCAATAAACAAATTCTAATTAATTCGAATTGCTCAATATTTTGAACTCTTTTTTAACAGAACACAACTAAAATGAACAGTTTTTCAAGAACCATGTTGTAATTAGAGGTAATTAGAGTTAGTAATTTATTGTTGTGGGCAACTTGTTTTGAAAATTATGCACCAATAAGATGGAATTGATCATTTTGTAAATGGAAATTCGAATACACATCTAGTTGCATAGGAGAAGCCTCTAGGTTACTGTACGTTTTTAAAACCTGGAGGTAAGGTTTTCTAGATACAAAAAAAAAAGTATGTTATGATCAGTACGTATTTCTTCAACAATACCTGTTTCACTGTACTCTTTGTATTTCTTCTGCTTTTCTGGCAGATACTATTTTTCTCTTGTATATTACAATGCTACAATTTGGTGATTGTTTGCCTTGCATTCATCGTGTACTTCAGCAAGACAAAAAAAGCAACGGAACTAATTTCGTTTTTTACACAGTACAGGCAGTGATATGGTTTTTTGCAAGGTGGGTGGATACATACGTAATGCCACTTGGTGCCAAAGGACACAGTAATACAGCATTTGCTGAAAATGGACAAGATGGATCACAAATTTCAAAAAAAATCCTACATAGTTTTGCTGGAGAGCATAACCAAGGAGGAGTTGTTCTTGATGTTATAGTTCGTATTTGCATGGTATCGCTTACCTCCTATCCTGGGGAAAATGATCTGCAGGTATAGTTTTTGCCTCGTATACTTGAGACAAATTCAAGTGTTTTATGTATATGTTCTTTACTTGATATCATTTGGCTAACACTCTTGTACTTGTCCTAATAACCTCCCACTAAGCAAGATAACTTTCAGAATAATTGCTGGTATGATAATCTGTTATGAGTTTTTATTTGATTTTTCCAATAAACCAGGAGAGAAATGATCCTTCTCATCTCAATGTCATGTCGTCATATGTAACATGCCTTCCTTGTGCAATGGTAGTCTATCAATTGCACGCGTCCTCATGAAAATTTCCAGTATCCAACTTTTCAGCTATTCTAATATATTATATATATTATATCAGATTGTGAGATGAATTATTTTGTATTTGACTGTGTATAGCAGGCCAGTAGATATATTTTCTAGATTTATATCAAGATTAAGGTCATTATTTACGACCTTTCAAATGTTATGGAGTACTTTGCCCTTTCTCATAAACAAGCACCAAACATGCTTTGCTATGGGATGGGTTGTTTTGGCCTCTCATATCCTTTGCTGATTCATGCGAGTATGTTACCTTCTTATTGTCATTCTTGAATTGTTTGTGATTCAGAATATCGTTTGAGTACTTCTGATCATGAATAACACAAAATACATGCCAGAAACCCAGTGCTTCTCTGCTAGTCATTAGTCATTTCACTATCTTATTCTGGAAACTGGTGTCGAGTAAGGTTTTGGCAGTTCCTTTATTGAGTTCACAACTCTATATTCATAAGATGTAGATTGTATTGACAAATTTAGTAAACTAATATTATTCTTTCTTATTTTTCATAATGTTTGGTATTATACTTTCCTACTTTGTGCTAGTGAGTATATTGCATTGGAGGTCTGCTTTGTTCTTTTCATCAAAGATAAAATTATTCAAAATAACTGCATTCCTATTGGTGCAGTTATTAGTTTGAAATATGTCTTATATTCGTTTGGAATTATTTGCTCATTATGATATGTTTCTTATACATTGGGAACCATGTCTTATTTCTTTCTTCTGTTTTCTAGGCGCTCACATGCCAAAAGCTTCTCAAAGCACTTGTTCGAAGGAAACATGTTTGCAGTCACCTCGTTTCACTGGTGAGATCAAAGTTAAAACTATTGAAGTTTATCTTATATGTCACCTGTCAATGGATATAAGTCTGTAGCTGCAAAGAGTCATAAAATTAATTGTCAAATATTGTTGTCTTTTAATGAGGTGTCTGTTAGTAGTTTTAGGTAGATTTTATACCCTGTGGACTTATTGTGCCTCAGCTATTTTTCTTAACGACCTGCAGCCTTTATTTCATCATGTTGCAATAAAACTTAGTAGAAAAGCTTATATTCTACTAAACCTCATGTCAGTGGATAAAAATAATTCAAAGTTATTCTTGCCAAATAGGTCACCTATGTAATGGGAAGAATATGGACATACCAGTAACAGAAAAGGATCATAAATTTGGTTGTGAAGACTTGCTGTCCTTTGACACAAAGCTGATGTTTGGTTAGAAGCAAGATCTAAGAACTCGATCCAAATATCGGTTTGTCGATTTTTTTGAGAGTTTCAGTTAATTGGTCTCACAATTTCTCTAGTTTTGCCTCTAAATTTGGATTCCCGTCTTTTTCCTTAAAAAGAAAAGTGAAAGAAAGAAAAGCTGTTGCCCCACTATCTTCTTGACTGGACAGCACCTTCTTTTTTTTGGAAAGAGACGGGGCCTCAAAAACCAATTACAACTCCTCCAACCGCCAAGATTCTAAACACAATATATACATGTTTTGAAGCATCCTCAAAAGATAGAACATAACACACTTATTCCAGTACTGGAGAGCACTTCACATTATATTTTGTGTTAGATAAACACATTTATAAAGGTCTAGCTTTCTTCAATCATTCATTTATCAGCATTCCTAACATGTTCATCTATATTTAATTATCGAAATGGCTGTCAACTAAAGGTTATTAAAATATAAAATTTTGGTTGGAACGAGAGTTCACCAAAACCTTTTATCAATAAGCCTGAACTGAGTTGAAGAACAGTTTGAGCTGATATTAAGGGTCCATTTCAAGTTTAGTAACAATTCAAATCCATCGTCTCATATTAAGGAAAACTGTCAGTGAAAAAGAGCCTAATAGGGGACTACCGTGTTCTTTTCTACAGTATGATCTTGCTGTATGTATTATAAGCATACTCCAAATTTTCCCTAAATACAACCATCCTTTCAAATATCTTGTAAAATCATCAGTAAATGGATCATGTCCAACCTTGTCCTTCAAAATCAACAAACACCCAACAAAAGAACATTAATGGCTTAGAAATTTGAATTATTCAGGATTATTATTACTCGTATGCTTTCTGAACTTGTCTGCAACAAAGTTCTAGGTTCTTATGTTTATCTGTGATCGTCTTTACTGGCTTATGTTGAACTGATATTGTAATATACTGAAGGACGCATGGCATGACCTTGCTAAAGTTTTTTCAACTGAAAGGATTTTGTTACCAGTTAATGCCTGTCTACAGGTGAGAACCTCGACACTGGATAATCAGTTTTGATGTTGTTTCTGTAATTCATCCTATCATGTTTTTGGCTATCTGGCTCAAGATTCTTTGCTTTCAGCGTTCTCTTGCAGAAGCACTTGTTTGTGCAGCAATCGGCCTAAAAGATCCAGAGGCATCCAACCAGTTAATCACTAAAAGATTTTACTGGATACTGTTTCTAATTCATTCAATCAATAGTATTATATGTTAAATTGCGGTAGTGACATGTTAATTATAGTTTTATGACGCTTACAGGTACGTGAGGGATCTAATGGGACCAACAACTGCGTATCTTGTAGAAGTGGCTTCAAGGAATGATCTTGTAGGAGTCGCTCAACAGGCAGATGCAATACACATGGTGATGAGGAGCTCTAAATATAATTCTGTGTTTCAACGAGCATTAGACTATTAACTTTGAGATTATGTACAGATCAGTTGTATGTTGGAAAGGCTGAGAGGAGCAGCTAGAGCAACCCAACCACGATATCAAAAGGGTATATTTGAGATGGGTCATGCAGTAATGAACCCTCTGTTAACTCTCCTAGAAGCGTATAAAAACCAGGTATTATTATAGGCATTTGATTTACTCTATATTCTTTCTTTGTTGAATTTCATGATCTATCTGATGATTATTTTCTTTTGTAGCCTGCAGTAGTTTACCTGATACTCAAATTTGTAGCGGACTTGGTTTATGCGCAAGTCACATTTCTTAATGCCCAGGAAACTTCTATTTTGGTCACCTTCTGCTTACAATTGCTCCAAATATACTCTAAGCATAACATTGGTAAGGTAATATTTCTTACCCTGCATGTCAGGTTTGGTTTTTACTTGTTTAACATGTTCGTGAAGTTCTATTACATGGCTTTAGAGTGTTGTGCTGTTCATCTTATTTCCAATCTTTATTTATTGTCATCTTTTGCAGATTTCATTGTCTCTTTCAATTAGCTTGCAGAGTGAGGCACAAGCTGAAAAGTATAGGGATTTGCGTGCTTTGCTTCAGCTGCTGACCAATATTGCATCAAAAGACTTGGTATCAAATTACTTTTGGTGCTGTTTGTGATCTTGTTGTTCCTAATGCTTGTTACTTTGGTTCTAATTATGAAAAATGTTAATTATGCAGGTTGATTTTTCATTAGGGCCTGAAGAAGTAGATATTGCTCAGGCAAGTTTGCTACTTTTTCTAGTCCTAGCTTCTTATACTATCAAATTTCTTATGACATTTCTTTTATAGGTTATCTATATTGGATTGCACACTGTTAGCCCCCTTATATCTTTGGAACTTCTTAGATACCCCAAACTCAGTCGAGATGTAAGTTCTTTCATTGATCTTGTTGATATAATCAAGGTCCATTGGGTAAATCTAAATCTATTTACCGAACTTTTGTCCCCGCCCCCCCCCCCCCCCCTCTTCTGCAGTATTTTACACTAGTATCACACATGTTGGAAGTGTACCCTGAGAAGGTTGCTCAGCTGAGCAAGGAAGCGTTTTTGCAGATAATTGCAACTTTAGACTTTGGAATTCAACATCAGGCATGCTATTTTATGTGCAAATATTGTGTCAATAAAATGTGTGACCAGATACATTGATCTGTTTACCTTTTCGGACACTAATTCAGTAGAAAATAATTTTCTTCTTCTTGTCGGATTATTTTATGTTTTTCCATGCCATTTGCATATTCTTTTTTTTAAACATATCAACCATATGTATGAGAACTCACCGCTGTATTCTAAAATGTGTTCCTAGTTTGGTTCAAGAGCAAATTTATGATTAGTCACTGCCACCTCCTTCCCCACCTGTTCAGTGTGGGTGTTATTCAAGGTTGTAGAAAGCGCTAGGCGTGTCGGACCCGGTGCCTAGAGACTCGTTGTTTTCCTTTTTTTATTTTTTAATTACAATCAATATTATTGAAAGCGCTATGCACCACTAGGTGCCAAACTGGCTCCTAGGCGCTAGGCCTGAGAGGATTTCTTTTTTTTTAAGTGGTGGCGGAGGAGGTTTTCCTGAAGGTTGGAGGGTTGGAGGGGTTGGAGGAGATGTTTGTAGTTGGTGGAGGCTAGAGGAGTTCGGAGGAGGTAAGAGGGCGTGGTGGCAGCAACAAAGGAAATTACGATCAAGACCTACCGGTGCAGTCCACATAAACAGTCTATGCTCCCCTAGGCGCTCTCAAGATCTAGGTAGGTGGAGCCTAGGCGGCCTAGGTACCACCTATTCCTAGGCAGGAGCTTTTTAGAACATTGGTGTTATTTTTTCTTTTTTCTTTGTCCTATCTTAGGGTGTGTGTTGTAGGATTTTTCTTCTACTTTGTTGGTTGGTGTTTGGTGCGTGGTGTATGCTTTCATTTAGAGATTTGTTTTCTTTTTATATTTCTGCTCGCTTTTGGTTGATAAAAGAGAGTTGTTTTATTGGATAAATTGAATATTAAGGACAACTAGAGAACCATAAATAACAGAAACCATTATAATGTTTTTTTCTTTCTTTTGAAGATTGTCTCGTGGTGCTTGCATCTTCTTTGGGTCAAGAGAAACCTATGCTGCTTCCAGAATGTGTAAAAATTATAGTCCTTTTGTGCTTCAAACCTTTTAGGAGAGACATTTGTAGGTTTTTGGACATGCTCATAGTTACCTCACCGGCTTCATTGCTACTTTTCAGACCATCAACTATTAAGTAGTGATTAAGAATTGTCAGGATATGGTTCAAGTTGTCATTTTAATACATGTCTTTTGCAATATTATATACATTGTAGTAGTGCTGACTGTGCTCTGTGTCCTCGTAGGATATTGATGTGGTCGATATGTGTTTGAGAGCAGTAAATGCCCTTGCCTCCTACCACTACAAAGAGAGAGTTGCAGGTAAGGGGGGATTGGGTGCACATGCAATAGTTTCCCAGGGCTCTAATGGCAAACTGCAGGAAAGCATCGTGAGCCATTTCTTGCGATTGCTTTTACAACTACTTCTGTTCGAAGATTTTAGGTCAGTAGCTTGTGTTGATTTTTTGTTGGAGAATAAATTTAGTTAGAGTTGAGATTATGTGTGAAATGCATAACTGAGACAAAACAATGGACTCATGCCTAGTGATGTAAAATTCATTCCGTAACCATCCCAAGAAAATTGCAACAGTCTCAAGTAAACTCCTGTTCCTTTTCTTTAACCTTCATGTTAAATTCACTGTTACAGAATGGAGCTTGCTGGTTCTGCAGCAGATACCCTTCTTGCATTAGTTTTGTGTGAGCAAGAGCTATACCAGGTACCCTCTCTTTGCTTGTCAGATATTTGTCTTGCCAAACATGTAAAAAATATGTTTCCTAAGGCAGTATTGTACATATCACTGGTTTGAAATGAGTGACAAAGCTCATAGCCTCATATCAGGAAGAAAAACTGAATGGGCCCTGTTACTGATATCCCTATCTTAATCAGAGAGGATTTGTTGATAATTGTACATTTTGTGTTCAATTTTAACACATGTGGGTGTCTGTAGCTGACCTGAAAGTACATTTTACACGATGATGCATCGTATCAATATTGAAAACTTACATCCTTTGAAGCATCTAGAGGTTTATCTTGTAGACTTCGGCAAATTGAGTTTTTCAAAGCATCTAGTAGTTTACTGCCAAAAACGTCTTGTAATTGATTTTAAACTTTGTCAAGTGAATTATTACTATTATATGTTTCTGCAGAGGCTGGTTCAAGAATTCTTGGAGAGACAGCCAAATCCTACTCTACAGACAAGACTCACGAGAGCACTGCATTCTCTCACAAGTTCCAATCAGTTGTCTTCTTCGCTTGACAGGCCGAACCGCAACCGATTCAGGAAGAACTTCCATGTATTCTTGACTGATATTTCTGGTCTACGGTTAAAGTGAGTTACAAACCAAGGAGAGGATTTAATTGATGAAATTTGGGGAACATTCCAGAACCAGAATGGAGAAACTTCTATTTTGATAATCTTGGAAATTTGCTGGAGCTGTTGCAATTGCTAGAAGCGTGATGTGAAAGGAAATTAAATTTGCTGGGGCTGTTCCAAATCTTTGTGTACTATGCAGTCCCTGGATTATACGTGATTGGGATACTTCTGATATGGTGGCAGTGGCAAGTTCCTGGACGGAGGATGAGTGTAAGAGGAGTCTGCGTTGGAGGCTCTTGCGAGCGACTTTATGATAGGCTTATGATGTGAAAAGAAATTAAATTTTGCAGTTCGGACAAACTAAACTTACAGTATATTTTGTAAAATTGAAGTAAGAATGGAAAATGTTGATGTAATTGCATATATATATATATATTTTTACTTTTCGACTTTTGTGTGCCTTGAATAAGAGGGATTTTGTGGAACTTGAGCAGGTTATATGGCTTTTGTATGGGCGCTTAATTGCATCATCCCAGGTTGTTATCCATGACTTGTCCTTTTGAGAGACGCATTGCTATTAAATTTACCCGTGTGGATTGACTTCTTGTAGTGTACTGAAGGTTTTATTGCGGTAATCTATTTGCCAATGATTTCTTCTCTATTTTGTATTTTTTTTGATTAGCTGAACTAATGTTTCAACTCCAGATGTTTATTCATTAGTTCAGCAATATTAACGTAGATATTCTACTTTACTTTGTAGCTATGTTTCGAGAGAATGGACGTGTCTGTAATTATTAGCTAGAATGTAGAATATACCAGACCTACAAGAATCCTTTTTTATGGTGTGATAGTGCAGTGCTTCATTCCTTGAGCTAATATGATGGTGTTTCATAAAGAAGGAAAAAAAAAAGTCAGGAAGATTCTTGCAAGATCGAAGCTGGTCGAAACTAAAGATGAATACTTTATCCAAGTGAGATGAGATCAAGATTGTCAAATTAATTAAAGAAGCACCCAAGTTTTATATAGTCATCCACGAATAAATTACACAAGGTTGGAAGATTTTCATGATTGACATATAGTCTTTAAAAAAAAATTCACTTTACTCCCCTCGCTTACAATTTCTAGTCAAGTAATTGTTACTTCTCGGATTTAATCATCCATTTTCAATATAATAATCATACATTTCTTTATGCAAAAGGGCATATAATATTAATTATGATTTTATATGATATAGCATTTACATCCAAGTTAATTATGTATAAATGAAAAAAAGGTAATTCTACTTAAATGAAGTTTTATATCTGCCAAAAAAAAAAACACCCTCCAGGAAATTTTGTGTTAATTATCCAAACTTACAGGGAGATCCTCTGTGATTATAGACAACCTCTGTAACCGATTTAAATGAAGCTCTGCGTGGAGATATTATATATTATATATATACCTAATTTCCTAGTAGAACAATGAATGAAGCATAATGATTGTGATTTTATTAATAATCATCAACCAATAATAAACCGTAAAAAAAAAACTAGTATTTCGTTTCGTCCCTCGCTTTTTCCCCCTGATTTTTCGTTTTATTCGTTATGATGGAGATCTGAAAATTACACTCTTTTTTTTTCTCATCGATCAGTTCTTTCTCTTCGGATCCGAGCGAGGGCGATTCTCATCAGTAAGTCATCCTAACCTCACTTCACCATTTCTCTAGGGTTTTAATTTTATTTATTTTATTTAGATCCTATTGCATCATCGATAACTAATATTCTTTTAGCATGAGATCAAGATTTAGGTAGGGCAGACGAAAACGAAAGGAAAATTTTTGGTCATATATGTGTAATATTTACTTGAAAATTGAATTGCCATCGATACGCTAGTTGAAAGGAAAAGATTTGCTACGTAGTTTTTCTGGTTCGAATATTTATATATATAACTTGTTCTGATACTTCTTTGAAATATTCTGATTCGTTTGATTTATTACTGCTGAATTCATTGATAATTGTTGGAGTACATACTCCCCCCTCCCCTAACCAACAAAAAAAAAAAAAAAAAAAAACA